TGTCCAGTGGTTGCAGAGTAATTAAAATGCAGCACTGTTGAATTTTTTTTAGTACTGATTCTGTCACCAACCTGCTTGATCTGTTGTTTGTGATGATGTTTTCAATCTCCTGCAGGGGAGACCCCAGCTTATCACTATGGGACCCACTACTCCTCAGCCATGATCGTGGTCTCCTACCTGGTCCGGATGGAGCCTTTCACTCAGATCTTCCTACGCCTGCAGGTAGGAACCACATCACCTCACCTGGGGCTTCCTTCCTGCTCTGCAGCTGAAACCTCAGTGGGAAAAATACAACAAATTTGCTTTATTTTCATCAAACATGGCAGAAGAAATACTTTTAGTGGAGCTGTTATTGCCTGGGAGCAGTTTGTTTCTTTGTAGAAGATGTAATGGAGTTCACTTTTTTATTTCTTGCAACTGGACCATTTTTCTACATGTGTGCAGAACAAAGTACCAGCAGACAAAAACAAAATCAAGTTTTACTGTGAAAAATACTTTGCTCATCGTGCTTTATTTGTCTGTTGCTGAAAGAATCATACCCTAGTTGTTTAGTTCTGTGCTAGAGGTGTTGAAAGATTGTTAGTTTAAACCAATATGTCTATCCAAAGAGCTGCTTTAGTACCGACTGTTAAAATAAACTGTTTGCAGGGGCTGGAATAGTTTGCCAATTTGATGGGTAATGGGGTTTGTAACTTTACATGTTAAATATTTTCTTAGACAGAAGCCATCAGGCAGGATTTGTGTTTCTCTGGCAGAGACTAAGCTTTGAAACAGGACCAGATTCCTCTCTTCTTAAAATTCTGTTTCTCAGGGCTTTGTTCGCTGTTGTCGTGTAACAACAAGTGATGCAGCTGTTTAACCCTGTTTCTGTGTTGGAGGAAGACACGTGCTACATTCTGTAGGGTGTTTATTCAGCAGAGGATGCTCTGGTGTGTCCCCCTGGCAGTCTGAGCCCTGCTGGGAGGGGCTCTGCTGCTGACCTGCCTCTTGGTGTGCCCGCAGGGCGGTCACTTCGACCTGGCTGACCGGATGTTCCACAGCGTGCGGGAGGCCTGGTACTCAGCCTCCAGGCACAACATGGCAGACGTGAAGGAGCTCATCCCAGAGTTCTTCTACCTCCCCGAGTTCCTGCTCAACTCCAACAATTTTGACCTAGGTAGGCACAAAGAGCTTGGCAGCATTGCTGCGGGTGTGAGAGCAGTGCCGGGCAGCCCAGCGTGGGAAAGGTGTCTCATGGGCAGAGAAAAATCTGTTTGACTGAATGAGGGAGTGGTAGATGACGTGTACATTCTAACATGGAGGCATAGGCAGGGCTGCTTCTGGTGTTTCCTGATGCTACACGTTCACCCAGTGCTAGATTTGAAAGTCTGAGTGACTGGGAACTCATCGTTTCATCGGGAAGAGTGTTGAGATTTTTTTGCCTCTGTGTTGAGAATTTTTTCCCCCCTGTTGCAGTGCAGTTTCAGTGCTCCTGTCCAATTTTTTTTTTTTCTCTTTTTAATAGGTTGCAAACAAAATGGCACTAAACTTGGTGATGTGATCCTGCCCCCCTGGGCAAAAGGAGATCCTCGGGAGTTCATCAGAGTGCATCGGGAGGTAATTGGCTCTTGGACAGTGATGAGGGAAAACACCAGTTGGGACTTTCCACTGTGTATCAGTCTATGCTTGATTTGTGTAGTCACAGCTGCTAGCCAGGCCAGGAATTCTGGGCTGATGGCTACTTCTTGCCAAGGTCTGTAGAACCAGGGTTTCCTCCCCTTCCTTTCTGGCCAGGGAGTACACTGGGGCAAGACACACTTCAGTGAAAAGCTTTAAAGAATGTGGCAGAATCCATTCTGCAGTTTTCTTTGTGGCAGGTGTGGGTGACTCAACCTGGGATCCACTGTTAATGCATGCCCTTTGAATTTCAGGCTCTGGAATGTGACTTTGTGAGTGCACATCTGCATGAGTGGATTGACTTAATCTTTGGCTATAAACAGCAAGGTCCTGCTGCAGTAGAAGCTGTCAATGTCTTTCACCATCTCTTCTATGAGGGGCAAGTGGACATATATAACATCAATGATCCATTGAAAGAGACTGCTACCATAGGATTCATTAATAACTTTGGACAGATACCAAAGCAGGTACACCCTTTGTAGAATTCTTGCTTGCCAGATGACACTCAAATTGAAATGTGTTCATAGAGAACAGGAAAGTGTTTTAGCACTGAAACTTCCTGGGAGGTTTTTTCCACATTCTTCCAGTGAAAATCATTTACATTTCCATCATAAGTGGAATGGAGTTCAACTCTGGGCTTTACTTTTGAGATTAGAAATGTCTTTTGTGGTTTTTTTTCCCCCCCTTTTTTCCCCCTTTGCATTCTTAAAGGCAAAGTGAGTTAGGATTCAACTCTAAAAATCAGCATAATAAAAAAAATTGTTCCTTCTGCAAAGTCAGAGGGGAGCAGCAGTGAGAGCAACTTCAGAGTGATACCTAATGTTAAGTTATCCTGTAATAAGTTAATTTCTATAATAATTTATGCTCCTTTTGTTTCTTATACTAGTCTCTTGGCTTTCTACAGGGTTTGGCCACATCTTTTATTTGAAGAACCTGTTGAAAAACCCTCAAAATTTAAATTAAGATTGACTCTTGTAGGGGAGCTCCATAGACACATATTTGGTGCAGCTGTAAAGTTTGTGTTCTCTTTAAGACATTACATTAAATTATTAAGTTTTATATTAAACCTAAAGTTTTACTGTGTAGGTTTTTAGGGGTTGAAGGTTTGTTTTTTTTTCTTAAATTAGACATTTCTTTAGGATTTTTGTGCTATAAAATGAAAGTTTGCTCCTTTTCCTTCCTTGCTGTCTCAAGAACTTGGGTATGTCGTGGCTGTGGGGGCTTCTCCTCCTAAGTAATAACCAGTCACTGGGTTGTGATGATGATGAGACATGGCCCAGTTAAAGCCTAATGAGCAGATAATGACTAAGGCTGAGGTTGGGGCAGGGGAAGAGCCTTGCAGCTGAGTCTGAAGGTCTGCCTCCATCTTCAAATGCCTCTTAGGTACAAACCTAGGAAACTCAGGATGCTTTGCTAAAGGAAATAGGCAGACTGCAATAAATTCAGGAAACTCAAAACTCCTTCCATAAGTCATTTGTGGTGGTGAGTGCTTTTGAAGCACATTTGAGTGTAACTGTAGAGTTTTGCTGTGACCTTCTGTGACTTTCCACAGGGGATCTAGGACAGGCTGTCTCAGGGATGTGGCTGCTGTGCACTTTTTCCCTCTTTTGCTGCATGGAGATGTAACATGAGGACTCCATCTTCTTTACCCCATCTCTTCCACCAGTAAAGCCCCTTCTAGTTCTGTTTCTCATTTTAAAAAGTTGTGCTGCAAAGCACTCCAGAGGCAGTAGTGTGTTTTGAAGAGGCTCTCCCAGACTCTGTGAGGCCCCTGAGATGCCACAGCCTGGGGGAGCAGAGCAGAATGGTCTCTTAAAGGAGAGGGTTTTTCTTGCTGGAACTGGCATTTTCTGAGATCAGTTGTCTGTGTGAACACTGTAAGATATCTGTTCTCTCTCCATTTCCTCCTAGTCCAGCCAGATGGGAGGCATGCTGTAGTTCAGGGAGAGCTCTACCTTGTTGTTACCCTCTGTGCCCAGAGCATAGGTGTGGGCACTGGGAGTGTGTGTGCATGCTCATGGCTCAGCTGCCTCAGGCTGGGGCCTGTCCCCTCTGCTTTGGCTGGGCAGACAGGTGACACATCTCAAAGGGCTGTGAGGAAAACAGCTTTCAACCTGGGAATTTCAGTGAGCCTTTCAGTGCTGGGGTGGCCTCTCAGCACAAGAGGAATTGAAATCCTTCAAAATACCACTCAGTGGTTAGATTTGTCATTTACATGTTACAGTGCATGGCACCTGCCATCCAAGATGTTTATTATGAATTTATCAGGTGATAAACCTCCGTGTCCTTGGTGATCACAGCTTGTTAGAAGTGGTGCTCAGCTTGTGTAACACTGAGATACCAGGGATGGTCACTGGAGCAGTAAAATGGACATTCAATCACTTGTCATAACAAGCTAGGCAGAAGAAAAGCAGGTGCTAAGATGTGTTTTTTCTGTGTGATTGTCCAGCTAGAGGCCCACCCACCCTGTCACTGTCCTTTGGAAGCCTGGCTGCCTCCAAGCCTGTCAGCTGCACTTTGTTTCAAAGCCAAAAAGCAGCTTTCAGTTCCTCCTAGGTTAGAACTTAATATTGCATTATGCAAGAACTGCATAATTTGGGACTTCTGCTTGCTTTCCTTCACCTGCTTTTACAGCTGGAGGTAGCTTTGGGAACACTTAGCTCCTTATCTCCTTGGTGGGTTCTGTGCTGTGTGGAGCTCTCATTGAAACGGTTGCCAGAGGTTATTAGTCAATAGTGAGGACAGTTAGGTGACATCTGCTGCCCTGCAGAGCTTTGGGAAGGTCAGTGGTATGTACCAATGACCTTTCTAAGCCTGTGCTCTTGTAAGGCTGTACCTGTGGGTAATGAATGAGTGAATTTCCTGGTGAATTGCAGCTCTTTAAGAAGCCCCACCCCCCGAAGCGGGTGAGGAGCCGGCCCAATGGGGAGGCCATGGGGGCCTCTGTGCCCCCCAGCTCCACGGCTGACAAGATCTTCTTCCATCACCTGGACAACCTGCGGCCATCTCTTGCCCCAGTGAAAGGTGAGCTGTAAAACCATGCTAATTATTCCTCTTTCTTTGCCAGAGAATTCAGAGTTTCAGCAAGGTGGTGATTTTCCATGATTTGTTTTTAGTTCTGATGTTCTTAATGTCTGTACTTCTGTAAGAAAGACAAATTTAAAGTGTCCTAATGCTGGGAGATTATGTTCTTAGCTACCTTAACGTGTACTTGGGAAGCACCAAATCTGTGCCAGTTTAATGCAACTTCTTTAAAAAAGAGGGATAAAATTGGGCACCTCTTAATACAAGCAGTATTTAAGCTACTTGGCTCCTGGGCCTGCTATAGCCTCAATTTTTGTGCTTTTTGTAGCAGAAGGATTCTTTATCACAGTGCCAAGAAATGTTGGCAGAAAAGGGTGACATTGTTCCCTGCATTGAGATCAAAAAAAGGTGGATTTTGACTTCATATATGATACTAGACTGAACAAAAGTTAGCTGTCTGTGAGGCAGCTCTCAGTGATTTCTTTCCTGGCTGATGAACTGAATCTGTGCCTGCCTGCTGTGAAGGGAGAAGGAGATGCTGAAACACAGGACATAGCAGGGCTGCTCTATGGCAGGAAATTACAAAGCACTGACCTCTATTTGCAAACCCTGGGGAGAGACAGGTAGGACACCAGGGACCACAGTCAGAAATGTACCCTGTGGGAATGCTTAGCCAAGGTGTTGGAATCCATACCAAAAACTTATTTTTACTTGTGCTGAAAGTGGTAAAATAACCTTTAATTGCCACAGACACCTTGCCTGAAGAACAAGTCGTGCAGCATCACTGGGGGGCTCTCAGCCATCTGTGCTCCTCAGGGGGGGCTCAGCCCTGCTGACGTTTGAGTGAGGGACAGCAAAAGCTGCCTCTGCTGCAGGGGTACAAGGCTTTGTCTAACACAGCCAATACAGAGGCCCTGCTTGTGCAGAGCATCAGCTGTTTAATGGGGTGAGATTGTATTTGTCCATGCTAGCAATAAAACACAATCCCATCTTCTCTTCTCAGAGCTGAAGGAGCCCGTGGGACAGATCGTGTGCACTGATAAAGGCATCCTGGCCGTGGAGCAGAATAAGGTTCTCATCCCACCCACGTGGAATAAAACCTTTGCCTGGGGCTATGCAGACCTCAGCTGCAGGCTGGGCACCTACGAGTCAGACAAGGTTGGTCATCTGAAATGTTGCAGTGCAGGATGTGCCAAAAGCAATTAGCACTCAGCAGGGAAAAAACCTGAACGATGGAGATTTATTTCACATGAGAATTAAATCATCTTGTCCTGCACGTGTTTTATCACTCCCTATCTGGTGGTCTTCATCACAACGGTGGCAGAATGACAGAAACCAATTAATACTATTTTTTTACCAGGTCTGCAAAGCATGAATGACTTAAATCTGTGCAGTTAAAGCCTCTCTCTCATGTTCTCTTGAGAGGCATCTTATGGCAGAGGCTGGAATTGCTTCTGCTGGAGGAAGGATTGCACAAGGGGTAGCAGCAACACCTTTTTTATTAATGGTGCAGTGTGGCACTCTGCTTTTCATTTTGGTTGTACCAAACACTAATCCTGCAAGTAATTCTTCTTTGTTTCCTTTATTTCTAGGCAGTAATTGTTTATGAGTGCTTGTCAGAGTGGGGTCAGATACTGTGTGCCATTTGCCCCAACCCCAAACTCGTTATCACTGGAGGAACAAGCACAGCAGTGTGTGTGTGGGAAATGGGCATCTCCAAAGAAAAAGCTAAAGCCCTCACACTGAAACAGGTAAAATACAAGAAACATGCCTTTTACTTCAATTATGCCACAAGATCAAAGGAATTAAGGAAGATCTGTTGCTCACAGAGTAAGCTTTGAAGCCGTGAGTCCAGCAGACCTTTGGTACTGATCTGCACTGGAAGAGACGAGTCTTTAAAACTGCATTGTTTGTAAGGGTATTGGATCACCTGGAGCTTTTTGGAGAGATGGGGAATTTGGTAGTGATGCTAATGGAATGATACAGGTGTGTTAAATCATGGAATCCTTCTGCTTGGAAGAGACTTTTCAGGTCCAACCTTCCCCAGCACTGCCAGGTCCCCACTGCCCCGTGTCCCTCACCCCACATCTCCACAGCTTGGAAACCCCTCCAGGGGTGGGGACTCCACCACTGCCCTGGGCAGCCTGGCACAGCCCTTGCAGTGAAGACATTTTTCCTGTAACCCAACCTAACCTCCTCTGGTGCAACTTGAGGCCATTTCCTCATGTCCTATTGCTTGTACTCGGGAGAACAGGCTGACACCCACCTCACTACAACCTCCTCTCAGGGAGTTGTGGAGAGCAATAAAGTCTCCTGAGCCTCCTTTTCTTCCCAAGCTAAACAACCCCAGGTATTCTGTGAAATCATCTGCTCTGTTGTAACATGGTACCTGAAATCCCTCATCTGGAACTGAGTCAGGGAGGACACTGAAGGAGACTGTCTTAAAGATTCATTTTTCTTTAAAAAACTTTTAAATATTTTTTTTTTCTTTGGAAATATATATACTTAAATTACACTTCTGCACAAAACTACTCTTTGTGTGAAGCACAGGATACTTGTTCAGGATGACCTTAAGTTGTTCTTGCTTTGTTAACTCAAAACATCAACTTTTAATCTAACAAATGAGCACCCCTGCTTTAAAGTCAGTTGCAGCTAAGTGCAGAGTGTGTCTTGGGTGTTTGAAAAAAAATCAAACAGAAAACCACAGAACATCCCCAAGCCCCCTAACTGCCTCAAAATGTTCTAGAAGCTGTGTGTCATTGTTACAGGTACCTGGGCTAAGAGCTACTGTTCCTGCAGGCATCTTAATAGCAAGATTTTTTCCAGAGGAAAGCTTCCACTCAGGAAATCAGAGATTTATTAAATAATTGCCTTGCTCAGTCTCCAACAACCTTCCAAAGCTGTGTTTCCAGAGTATTTTGCTTGGGAACAGTGCAAGATAACACACTATCTCCAAGTTCAGGGCAGCATTCTGAAGGGCATTTGCTGTGCTTGAGCCAGTGGTCTGTGCCTGGGGAAGGTGCTGGAATCTGCCTGTATCCCAGACTCCTGGTGCAGTGGTCAGGTTGAGCCCAAAATGGGAAAGCAGAGTCCATGACACCAGTAGATGCTGGTAATTTCCCCTGCTTGCAACTGACTTTGCTTTTTCAGTTGCAACATTTTCTTGGTTTTTT